AAAGCCAGGCCCCGGGAGAGGGGGACATTTTGTGGGGCCAAGGAGGACTGCGTTGGCAACGTGCCCGCAGGCTGAGCCTTTGCACCTAACTGGGAGAAAATGGAAGAAAAGGGCAGAGAGAAGGGGCTGAGCCTCAGCTGTCTGTCTGTCCTCCAGAGCCCCAGGCCACGTCTACAGGTCGAGCTGCCTGCTCAGCTCTGCCACCCCAGGCTAAGTTTAAGGCCCCCCGGGGCAGGAGTGGCCCCTCCTCGGTCACTGGTGAAGCTGCCGCCTGTTCCAGCTACTCGCACCCGGCAAATAAAATGGTCACGGCACCCAACCGCCTCGGCCCCGCCGACTTCCGTTCAACACCCTGCCTCCCAATGCAGCCCTTGGCTTCCAACAGGAATTGTAAGGCAAATATTTACTCCTCCAGCTCACGCTTTTAAAAGGAGAACTCTGCAGCATCAGCTGGAGCCGGCAGAAAGCTACAGTTGTTCCCCTCCTGCTCCCCTCCCTCCATCAGAGCAAGCAGCTGAAGGCAGCTCCTCTCCGGCTGCGTTTTCTCTCCTGCCCGCTCCCTTCCCTTGGCCAGGGGACCCTGAAGGCTTGCTGCAGGGCAGCGGTGAGCTGAGCTGCAGTTTCTCTGCCCTAAGGGATGCACAAATCTTACATCCAGCTGCCCACCTCCGGGTTTTAATGACGGAAGGAAAACTACCCTGATAGGAGGCTGGATGCGGTCTCCCGGCCTGCCGGGGCTCTCCCTGTGGTTCTCTGCCAGCCGGTGAGGCCGAAGCAGAGGGGAAGCCGCAGCCGGAATGGCCCAGAGCCTTCAAGGGATAGTCCAGGCATTTGTCCTCTTCCCCCAGGCCAGCTGCTTCACATGCTAAAAAAGAAGTAAAAATAATAAGAAGCCATTTGAAAAAAAAAGACTGCAGCACGCTCGGCCGCATCCGAACACTGCGGAGCGGGGGTGCCGTTTCCTCCCCTACCGGGGAGGGGGAGCCGAGGCCAGCCCCCTCCCACGGCCGCAGTTCCTGGCGCCCGCCAGCATCATCGATAGCGGCTGGCAC